AGAGGCTTTACCGATATGTTGATGGTTACCCTAACATTCCGCATTAGTATCAAACAAAACATTCCAATACATCCGATTCTACTTACACCACCGTGAGGATGGTCGACGGGGTTCATGGCAACACCACGAGTCTTGGGCCAGCAGTTGCGCTTGACGGCGAACTTATGCTTGGCGCGCGAAGCCTTCAGGAGAGGCTTGTCTGTTCGGCCACCACCGGCAACAATACCGATCATTCCTCGAGAGCTGCTGGAGACAACCTTCTTGGCACCAGAGGGAAGCTTGATTCGGGTCTTGCCCTCATCGGGGTTGTGGCCGACAACAGTGATGTAGTTGCCAGAGGTGCGACCAAGGGTTCCTCGGTCACCAACCTTCTCCTCCACGTTGGAGATGACGGTACCTTCGGGCATAGAGGAGAGGGGGAGGACGTTTCCGACGGTAAGGGCGGCGTTCTTGCCGGCGTAGATGAATTGACCGGTGTACATGCCCTCATTGGCGATGAAGGTCTCGGTGATCTGCTTGAACTTGTAGGGGGATCGGAAGACGACTCGGGCGAGGGGAGCACCACGACCCGGGTCGTGGATTATCTCCTTGATGACACCTCGTACGTAGCCATGGCGCTCAGCGAAATCGAGAGAACGGAACTTGGCCGGGCCCTTGCGCAGGTGGGTGTTGGCGGCTAGAAGAAATCAAAGGTAAGCCGAAATAATCCGTATCAGAGCGTATCGGAGGATATTCAATCGATCGCAATCGTGGCGAGCACTAAAGGATGTTGCGAGAGGACGTCGGCGTCGAATACTTACTGAAGATACTGCCTTTGCCCTTTCTCTGGTTACGAATCTATTTGACGAAACTCGTTAGTCGCGATAATACCAATTAATAGAAAAGCAGTTCCGAACATACCACGCGACCCATGGTGCCGGTCTAATTTGCGTAATTCGTGATGTTGAAGAGAGAATGGATGTTTGGGTTGTTTGGGCAATTGAAGAAATTTGGAAAAGACACCCCGAAATTAGAGAGCCGATAATTTTCCCTCGATGCAGAAGTTGATTGTGTGGGTTGCGGGCTAGCTGCTTGACCCTAATCGCTTCGAGTACGTACCTTTTGAAGCTGATATTTACCTTAGGTAAGCAGCCAAGAACTAGAAACCCCCGCTAAGTTATAATGGTCTGTGTGCTTTGTCTATTCAGCTGTTGTAGGTACATAGGTACATATCTAGCCACAGATTTCTTTGCACGGCCACATTATCTACGTACCTCCCTGATTGAACCTTGAGCCATAATCCATACGCGCCCACCCCTGCATCAAGTTCAACCTTCGCGCTCTTACAAACTTCATTCAACTCCGCGCATATTTAATTAATAGCTTTTAGCCCTTCACATCTTCTACCGCCTCTCCTGCCACTTTACCTCCAACTCACAACGTTTTGCTCGAGATAACCCCCACGACCATTTTTAGAAGAATATCTATCTATCTAGATTCCAAGCGAATATCCTCCCTTGCGAATTGATTAGATCCCTCGTCTATCACCGTTTGCCAATATCGCATACTCGTCGTCCCTTACAAGGCTTCGGACATCACCAAGTCACAATGGCGAAAGAACACGCCACCGAATTTGAGAAGATCATCAATGCTGGTAAGTTTCTCGAACGAGGGTTTATGAGCAACTTGGAACAATAATTACCAATTTATAATTTATAATATCAATACAAACGAAGAACTTATCAACTAATGCTCAATTGGTTTAGGCCGAGAGCGTAAGAGGAATGAAGCTCTTGCTGCGCGTATCTTTAAGAAGAAAGATGGCCAAAGACGAGCGAGCGCACCCACTGCTGGTTCCCTTGCAAGCAGAGTCGGAGTGAAGAAGGTATGATAACACTGCACTTGCCATCCCAGTTCTGAGATTCCGAACACTCCGCTAATACGTCACTTTCTAAAGCGAGTATCATCGGTTGCGCGTCTCCCAGGTGGTGATATCAATGGTGAATGGACTCACGACCTTCACAATGCGCCCAAGAACCCGAGAGCGCAACAAGACCCGAACTCCCTAGCATCCCGAATTCACGCACCAGGTACTTCGGCGCCTCGACCGAGAAACGCCCCGCGAAATGCTAGGCCAAACCGCGCATCTCGGCTTGCCAATGCCTATGAGCGTACAACCTTCTCCCCTGCAACGGCGCAGCAGCAGTTGAACGTGCGTTCAGCACCCACGCAGCCCCCGGGACAAGGCATAACGATTCGAGGCCTTGCAGGACCGTTTGCTGTCATGGCACAAAACTTTGCGCCGGGGACCACAGCTGCTGATATAGAGAGCGCCATGACTCCAGTCGGAGGCCTTGTGAGCAGTTGTCGACTAATCAAGACCCATCCTATTGTGATAGCCGAGATAGTCTTCGAGAGCAAGGAGGGCGCGGACCGGGTTATCCAGACTTTTAACAATCAGACGGTGAGTCTTGCGGAAGTTAACTAAGCCACATCATGTCCAGGAAGCTAATGAATGCGATAGGCCGACGGCAGAACGCTTCACGTATATCTAAAGCCCGGTGGCACCTATCGCTCCACACCGCCTACCGGGCCACGCGCCCAGCGTGACTACGAGACTCGATCAGCCGGCAATAATGTTGTGGTCGACGGATCAATGGGGTTTGATGACCGGATGGATACGGACTCGCTCGGCAGTAGCTACTCTAACAGTGGCGGCAACGGCGGCGGCCTATACAGCGATACCATGGTCCCCCAAAGCCAAGCTAACGGTGCTAGTGGTAATAATAGTCGACGAGGCAGAAACTTCCGAACCGGAAGGTAGGACCACGGATCAGAAGCGGATGTTGCTGGGAGGGACGACTATTACCCGGATAATTATTCACCTCGCCGTCAATACCGACGATGATGAACCGAGGGATCCTAGAAGATGTAGCTCCGTTACGGCGCGCAAGTAGGGCTATATTGCAGTCGACCAAGAGAATAGACTCCCTTGGTGAGACGAGCATTGAAGAAATGGACGTCTCCATTAGAGTCACGTTTTCGGATACGACGCAGACTACGAAAGGGAAAACGAGATATCCAGAGACGGAGTACCGGACGTATAGATATGACGTAGGACGTCTTCGAGTTATTCCTTTTTACCTACTTAGGCATGTACTAATACAACACACGCGTCTACATTTTACACCACCATTAATACCTTGGATCCAGCGGGGAGACGAGGTGTTCATGTAGACAATATACCCCCTTTGCGGGTACCTAATAGGCAGGCATTTAGGGGCTATGGACGACCAGGTCGCTTATAGGTTAGATTATGAAACCAGTTTTATGGACACGACTTAATGCTACGACTTAATTATGCTTGTAACTTTATCGTTTTATACGCCGTGTGGATGGAATAACGTAATTACTAATAAATCAATATTATGTTATCTTAGTTCTATAGCCGTTTCTCGAATACACGTACGTCTACGTACATCGAAGGGTTACGAGAAAGGTGATATAAGGGTAAATATATAAAGAAATACCTAACCTAATAGGTATAAGGGAAACAGTCAATACTAGAATTTCTCGACATATGCAAAATTCCGAGTTGGGGGGCGATAAGGGGGTAGGTAGGTAGGTAATATATGTAGTAGAGGACGACACGAAACTAACGAGATAGGTAGATATAGTCTAACGGCTAATAAATTAAATCTAAAGGGAAGGGAAGAAAGTAAGTAGGGAAAGGCAGCGGGATAATCGACAAATCAATCATATCTCTACGGAAGCTTTATTACGTTAAAAAGGGTTATAAAGAGACAACGCCAACGAGTTTACGGAGTTCTCGTTTGTGTACCAATACATATATATACCTACGTTACGTTCATATATCGTTCATATAAACCTTTCACTTGGGAACTCTACTGTATCTCCTACACCCCATACCAAGATACGATTATTCATCCCTTTCCCCCCTATCCTACCACTATCTATCTCATCATCAGACTACCATCCCACTCTCATGCCAACTTCATATACCTCAGTCAAATGCTAAACGATCGAGTTACTTAGCCGCACAGTTAACTTATACTCGCCACTACCACAATCACAATCACAATCATCACCACCATAGTCATCGTAGGTAGCCTAGTTATACGCATTTATAGGTAGGTATCATATGCAACCTCAGTTAGGTAACGTATACGTACAGCAAATCGCGCCTCTTAGCACGATAGGTCATATTTGACCTCCGCAATCCTCTTCGCTTCCCGCAGGTGTAATAATAAAAATAAAAATAAAAAGTCAGCTGCCAAGTAGCAGCAAGCTCTCCCTCCATCCTCCCGTCCACTCGTCCATCGTCCTCGTTCCTCAAGTTGTATCCCCTTTTCCTACCACTCGGCCGGTATCATTTACCCTCGGCGTAATACGTTACCGCGGTTAGCCCTCATAACAGCAACGGAATCTCTGTGGGAAAGCTTAGTATCTCCCACTTAGTACAAAACGAACGCTCAGAACTAAGATGGGTATTGGATCTAAGATTTTGCCTACGGGCCCGAACCGCAACGTAAAAGCGAAGGCGGCTCTTCCCCCCTATACAGCCTACTTAGGGTTTTCTGAGCCATAACGTAGCAACATTCTCATTGATAATCCACTCTTCCTCAAAGCAGAGCTATTCGTCGAGAAACCTCTCCCAATGCTATATGCAGCCGAAATATCATCAATCTCCAACTGTAGTGTGCAGCGAAGGAAAAGAGGAAAGAAAAGTAAACTTTTGGGCAATCTAGGTTGCACCCTATGTTCTGCTGGGTATCATACACGCCTGTAAAAGTTCGCGCCGGTAGGCTAACGCGGGACTATAACAGCGTCCGAAGGATAGGCTCTTTCGGAAATGTCGCTGCTACCAATCTAGCTAGGAGTGAGGGTCGATCCTAGGAACTTGGGCCCCCGTCAACAGGTTGAGGTTGGCTGTAATATCCTCAACATGGATTGACATACGCGGTTCTGCTCTTGTGGGACTTAATCGCATAGGGCATTACTCAAGCCCACGGATTTTGGCCTCCACCTCCCATGAATCCCTCCTCGAGCGTCCTTTCTTCTAGGTTACGGATGAAGTCACGGTTACCTCTAGTAGTACCCCCTCTCTGCGATCTACTGTCTCTCCTGCCAGCTACCCTACCAGCTCCAGGGTCTGTGAGGCCAATGCCATCGGCAGGTGGTGGATAGTATGCAGGACTCGGTTGCAGTCTGATGGGCTGACTTGGATCAAGGTGGCTAGCGACTCTCTGAATGGCTGCAGGTATACCACTCTGCTGCTGATCCATCGTCGACGCGCGTTGGCGGCCCGCTCGAACCGTAGCTTGTTGGTATAGGTTCGGTTGCGGGACGGCAGCGTAATTCGCGGGCACCACTTGCGCAGGTGCTTGACCCATGGGCATTTGGCCGTAAGGGGATTGCTGGGCGGTATAAGGCGGCGGCGCACCCGCGTGACTACCACTGGGGGTATACAAGCCGTTGGTCTGGTACATCGAAGGCTGTCCGTGTGGCGTGGCTGGATATTGGGAGTTATGCATAATATACGCTCCCTGAGCAGCCGCCTGAGCTTGAGCTTGCGCCTGTTGTGCTCTTTGCTTGCTGAGTTCGGCAGCTTGCTGCTGTTGTTGTGTTCCAGGAGCTGGAGATCGATTCAGAGAGCTTGACTTCAAGTTCATCGGCGGTACAAAGGGGCCGGTGAATTTCTGCTGAGTGATGAATGGGTGAAGCTTTGCCTGTTGCGGCGACCATCTCTCTAGAGGGCTGATAGTCAGTAGCCCTCGCACGAAATCGATGAAAGCAATTCGGTTGTTCATTTCTGGATATACAGGTTAGCTGGGCCAAAAAAATCCGTCTAGCTGGAAGACAGTGCCTACCTCGTTCAATCTCGTTCGGCTTCATGTTCTTTCGCGGCATTGGGTATGATTTAATAATCTCCGGTAGCGTGCTCGCTTGAAAGTACTTCTTGCTAGGTTGTTCTTTCGTCCCACGTTCCCGAGAGAACTGTTCCATACTCTTTAGATGGTACGTTTTCCGACCGAATTCATCCTGCCTCTTCTCGAAGAAATCACCGGCCTGCTTACCGACCTCGATCATCCAGTTCGGGGGATTTCCAAGCATCTCGACGATTCTCGAGACCTGATTGTATTCGGACGAGCCCGGGAATAGCGGCAGGCCTAAAAATAGCTCGACTACGATACAGCCGAGTGACCACATGTCGATTGCCGAGGAATAGGGAAGGCCTAATAATACTTCGGGTGATCGGTAGAATCGCGACTGGATGTATGTGTACACTGTCTGTCGCTCGTCGCAGGCTGAGCCAAAATCGATAATCTTGATGATGGGGCTCTCGAGGTTCTTTAGTAGAATATTCTCAGGTTTTAGATCACAATGTATTAGTCGCGCCTTGTTGAGCAGGGCGAGACCATTAAGGAGCTGCTGGGCAAATACTCGGACGAGTGTCGTACTGAGACCTCGGAATTGGTTCTGCTTTATAAGCTCGTACAAATTGACGCTCAGAAGTTCGAATACTAAGCAAAGATGCTGTCGATGTATAAACGTGTCTTTGAGTCGTAGTAGATGGTGATCATCGTTCTTGTCAAGTTTCGTGTTCAACTACGTAGTCATTAGCGAAGCTCAATACGGATAACTTAGGCTTCAAATCTTACCAAGTCCAACACAGACACCTCCATCATGCTTTGGTTAAAGTATGCCGTCCTATTTTTAATGACCTTGACAGCAACGACCTCTTGGGTCTTCAAGTTCTGGCACTTGACGACCTGCCCAAAGGTGCCTTGTCCAAGCACATCTAGGATGAGGTATCGGTTCCTATAAGAGTCATTAGCAATAGTCTATAAAGAGGAGACTACAAATAAAAAACGCACTTGTGACCGGCTTCCTCCGAACCTAGGATGTCGTTGACATAAAGGATATAATCGCTGTCCTCATTATCGTACCCATCGTTCTTGGTTCCCTTGCTCGGTTTAGTCAGTACCCGACGGGGATTGCGGGAAGACTCGTATTTGAAGTTAGGGTTGCATATGCGATACGTTGCGGGTAGATGGACGGTAAGGGCTTGGAGAGGCTATAAAAGAAAAATTGTTAGAATCGCTACGTCCGGGGTAAATACTCGATAGTAAGTCTTCATACACTTATAAACCCTCCCTCGGGGTTTGCGCGACGGAACGGCGGTTGAGCATTGACCTTGGGTCGCAAGTCTGTCACGGCGCCGATCTTCTTAAACTGGGGCACGGGCTTTTTCTCGACAGGCATTGTGGCGGTGGGCTGCAGCGCTCTCCTCGGTGATTTTGGGTCATTAGCATAGGCACCATCAAGAGCCGAAACAGTAGCTGATGGGTAGTTCTCCTGGGAATTTGCGTAAGGCGTGATAGAAGGAAGCTGAGAGTTCTGTCGGGCGTAATAACCGCTCTGAGACTGATACTCAGCCCGAGTAGGTGACTGGCGCTGAGTGTGGGGCGCGGAGAACTGAGCCTGATTTGCTGCCGACTTGGGTGCATACGGTGATGTTGGCGACAGTACTTCCATGGGCGAATATCGCTGAGCGGCGGCCGATGGCTCAGAGGGCGAGTGGAGGTTCGCGGATCGACCACCTGAGAGGTGCGACTGATGATGCGGGCGCATGGGATATTTCATACTCCCGTAAGGATCGTGAACATCCTGCATAGGCACGTCACCATTGCCATCGCGTAACTGCGGGGTGGTGATAGGCGAAGTCGCGCTCTGCTGAGGAGCATGCGAATTTATCGCTCCTTGGTACTGATCATACTTGAAGCCGACAGGAGGCTGGACTTGAGCAGGTTGCTGAGCATATTCCCTACCCGGAGTCATTTGACTACCGCCGTTATATCTTCGAGAACCGCCAGCGGCGTCGGAATAGCCCTGCCATTGATCCATGGCGTCCGGGCGGCAAGGAAGAGAGAGGCGGCAGGTTCAGCGGGGGTTGTGGCGATGAACAAGTTGGCTCGAGTAAAGATGAATTGGGGATAAAACGATATGGCCAATTCAGGCCAAAATATTATTGTCGTCGGGTAGTCCTCCTAAGTCATAACACGCGCATTAGCAAAAGTTGGGAGTGAGCAAAGGGCTCACTAGAATGCGGGCTTGGCTAACTGGGCTCGACGTTGCTGACTTGTTCAAGGTGTTTGGACCAAGAGACAAAAAAAGGTTGGCCGAAAATGGGGAAAACAAGGATGACGAATGGGCGAGGGCTGCGGTTCGTACCCAAATGCGATATACGGGAGAGGTTTAGTCTGGTACAACAGTAGGATTTAGGTATTCATGATGCGAGAATCTAAATAGAACTCGACTAGGAATCTCGGTGCTGTATAGTTATTTGCTTTGAACAGCCCCTTTAGTTTCTTTCGAATGAGGATGCAAAGAGAAGAAAATAAAAAAAAAGAGAAGAAGAGAAGAGGAGGGAAGAGGATACGTTAGATGCAGATTGTGTCGTGAGGTTTTGGGATTGGATGGCGGGTACGTCAGTCAGGACAAGAAAGTGAGAATCTGAAAAGAGTGGAGGGACAACATAAGATAAGCCATGGGTAGGTTGTTGACCTGCAGCAAGCTGGACTAGAGTGTACTTAACCTAGAACCTACAAGATAAAATATAGTTACTTGTGAATATGTCTAAGTTTGCGCTATTTTGCTAATACCTCTCAAGTACCTCTTACAATATTGTTGTGTATCTAAAGTATTGTCATTGGGGGGAATGGGGTGGATTGGGTACTAATTAAGGCACTGAACCACCGGGGTTGTCTGGTGTCTTAGGTATGTACGTACATACAATACCTTACATAGGCCGGATAGGTAGCCTAAGGTAGGTGCAAAGTAATAAAGTGAGGGCAATACGGCGGGGGAATTAGATTGCCAGATAGGTACCCACCCTCACGTAGCACAAAAACACAAAGGGCGTCGCTTGAGACGTTCAACGAATTTTGGGACTTACCATTACGGTAATAACAGCCTCTTTGAACGTTCCTTCTTCTTTACTTGCCCTTTACCAACATTAATAATGCTAGGAGATACGTTTAGGTATAGGTACCTTCTACCTTAGGTACCTCTTACACTAGCACAGCAGTCAGCAGTACAACTAAATAAATTAACTAGCTTTGATACGTTTCAATGTTTATATCCACCAACCATACCTATACAAACTTGGTGGCCGAAGAGATAAATTATTTCCATTGACTTTTCAACCGGTCAAACCATAGTTTATCATAGCCATACATATCTTCCAAATATGTACATTAAAAACACGCCTAACTACCTAAGTTATTTCAAAACAAACAGTAGTTCACGTTACGTGCATAGTTACAGTAGCCTACTTCCCGTGCGAGGGCTGGTTGGAGGGGTGGGAGGGTCACATACAAACGGAATCAAATGCATGTGCAATTGAGTTTGCGGGACTGGCTGGCATCAGGATTAGGATTAGGATTGCAACATTCAAACCGGCAATCTACTACTATCCACACGATATCTTCAACCACTTACCTAGGTACTCAATAATACCTATCAATGAGTAACGCCTCCAAATAGCAGCGACGAAAACGAAAAAGGTAACCTTGGGAAAGCCCCCGTATGATAGCAACCGGGAATCCTCGCCACAAAGGCGTTATTAACCGGCGCGCGCCTCGACAAAACGACGTAAACGAAACCATCTGGAACTAGCAAACAAAGCACGGACCGTCCTCGAGAAGCTCTTTTTTTTTTCTTGGCCCAAAGTTAAGAAAAGACAAGAAACTATCTCGTTTTAAGACCTGCCTTTGTATCGGGCACGTACCACCTTTTATTAATATATTCGAGCATTTGTTCAAGGAACAAGTACAAGAAAGATAAAAAGAGCCCCTATCCAATCTCATGTAACTAAGGTCCCTATGTACCGCTCGAGAACGATCGAAACAAACACATGGGAGTGGAGACAGTAATAATAACATGACTTGTAACCTACCTCATATACCTAGGTATCTCCTACATACGTAACCAAGCACATAGGTAATCAAAGCAGGAGCCGACTGTCGGCCTTTCTTTACGTTCCTATGAACCTTTAACTTCTCTTTCCCTTCCCCCAAGCCGTTCCCAGTTTCATCTAGGTAGTTAGAAGCTTTCCGGAATCTCATGATGGCAAATGTCTCCAAATCAGCATAATTAGCAAGGAGTAGTAGCATCGGTCCACGAAATATGATGCGATGCGAAAGTTAGAGGCCTCTTATAGGTAGCTTTCTTAGATTAGCTCGTTCGACAGCTTTCCCCTTGTGCGGCATTACACACAATTCGTCGATCTAACTGCGATACTACCTTTTACCTTTGCCGGTCCGGCCGGTCGTGGCACGCCAATGGAAGTGTTCCAGCTTTTAGAGCAACCCGTCTACCGAACCACTATCACGTCCTCGAGCTGCCGTTAGGATAGATAACTTGGTTGAGATATTTGATATTACCTTTTAATGAAACTAGGCATATTATCTTATACAGATCTTCCGGAGATAATATTAAACTGGACGTTAAGAAAAGCTCTTCTAATTTAATCTAGTTACAGCAATAACAGCTGAGGTTGGGCATGATTACAAAGCTCTCAGCCTAAATGACGCCAGACCAGCAAGGATTCTCGTCGTTCAAATTGTCACATCTCACCCCTTAAACCGAAGATCGTTTAACCTAGCAGGTGTCGCATCACGTATACATAGCCCATTCGAAGGCAGTCTGTGCATCGTAGAGTTTAGAAATATTACAACACCTCTGATTCTTATATTCCTAATCCAACTTACCCCCTGGCTCCTAAGTCCACTAAATTATAGAATCTTCTTCTAAATCTGGATGAGGTTTGCTTGCGCATGTATATACCACACCAGACAGAATAGGAGGAATATGTGAAAACACTGGCCTAGGTATTCCGACTTGACTTATCATCTTTGTTCATGAGCTCTACAAACTGGTGGCTATTCTTTCCCAACCAGTCCGCTCGATTGGGACTACATACATCCGCCCCTATGAAGAGGTATCGTAACAACAAACCTCTACGTCATTTTTCCCCCTAATAATCAAAAGAGAAATTTTATTCCTCGTAGGCCATCAAGAAGCCTGCTCCCACAGCCTGAAGGGGGACTTAAGAGAATCGTAATAATAATAATAATAGCGCCGTAACTTCGTCAGGCTCAACGCGAGAAAATCGTTGCGCCTGTATCAATAAATGCTCGGAGGTATCAAAGAAGCGTTTAAGGAAATGCCAGAAACTTTTTTCTTTTCAGAACGGAACCAAACAATAATCAAAGCCCTAGATTTTCAAAAATCCGAGCTGGAATCACAACCACGGAAATAGCAAAAAGATAGAAAATGTTAAGAGTAGAAAGTAACAAGCAAAAACTGGAATGTGTCATCTAAAGAGAAAACCCCCCAATTTGGCGTGGCTTACGTTCCATCGAAATACCTAAAGGGTCTATGCTCGAACGTGCATCCATCTACTGAGCAACCAGACTAAAATAGGGGGGAATGTAAGTAGCGTGCACATCCGAAGGGAACTTGTTAACCAGACGCTCCACCAAGAAATCAACCCCCCCTAGGACCGCTAACCCTGGTATCCAGGATATCCACTGTTGAAACTCTGAGCAGGTGGCGGCTGCGTCCACGGCTGGTTGGGCGGCTGTTGACCGCGGCCGTAACCTCCGGCGCTCGGCGGACCGCCATAGCCCATGGGCTGCGCTCCATAACCAGCAGGCGACTGAGCTGGCGGTCCACCGTAGGGTTGTTGCTGACCACCATACTGACCCGCTAATATAGATGTGAGCACAGCAGTCCAAACAGGAATAAGCGGGGTAGAAATTACATACCTCCGTATTGCGGGAAGAAGGTAGAGGGTGTGCCTGGGTACGCAGACGCCTGGGCACTTTGAGGGCTAAATGCTTGTTGCGAAGGGTCGAAACTTCCTTGGGCATTGGGAGTCTTGTCTTTACCCCACTACCATATAATTAATATCATTTTCCATCAATCACAGGAGAAATTCAACTTACGCTACACTTCAGAGGTCGTCCATTAACATTGTATCCGTTTAATTGGCAGATAGCCATGGCGGCATTCTCGTGAGTATCCATCTTGATGAATGCAAAGCCTCTATCGGCTTGGAATCGGGACTCGGTGACATAGCCAAAATTCTGGAAGAGGGGGACGACATCATTCTGAGTGGTGTACGGGGTTAGGTTACCAACATAGCAGGTAGTCTGCCAAGCCGGCGTCTGGTTGACAATCATGTCGTAGCTCTGGATTCCATGGGTAGGGAAATGGTGGTGGCCGTAGGGGGTAGTAGGCGTCATGCCCATAGCTTGCATCGCCTGCTGTTGAGCCATTGAAGGCTGCCCCTTCTGGTTGGCCCAGTTGCATCGAATTGCACGGGAACCCAACCACTCGCCATCCATCGAACTCAAGGCTTTCTCAGCATCCGCGCGGTCTCGGAAAGCAACAAAGCCGTAACCACGGGAACGTCCAGTCTTCATATCCCACATAACGCGAGCTTCCGAGATGGTTCCAAAAGCCGAAAAGGCTTGCAGAAGGACTTCATCATTGACCTCGTTAGACAAATCGCCGACAAAGATGTGGAAGTGGCTCGATGTGTCCTCCTTGTTAGTAGTATTGGACTGATAGGCCCAGTTGACTCTAATTTCCTAGAATCACGTGTT